GCCAGAGAAAGGAGGCCATGCCGGTCAGGCAGAACACAAGCAGCGCAGGAAGAAGGACGGCGCCGAAGACGATGAACGCGCTTCCCTGGATCAGCACCGTGCCAAGGTCCTCCAGCTCCAGTCTAGAAATGTGGCCAAGCACCTCCACAATGAGCACCGAGTCAGTCGGCTCCTCTGGCTCCACGACCACCCCCAGCCCCCCGCACTCGTGGTCCAGCGGCAGCAGCCACCTCGCGGCGTACTCCAGGACGGGGGTCAGCAGCCCGCCCATCACGTTCGCCGCGGAGCACACCACAAGGCGGTTCCACCCGCCCTCGTAGTCAAAGTGGTACTGCAACACCACCAGCATCACCAAGCTCTTTGCCGAGGCCACGATCATGTAGGTCGGGCTGTACACAAACACCATCCGCTGTGCCTCGAGGCGCACGGACTGGAAGGAGTCCAGCAACGCGTTGTCCAGCACTTTAGCCGGCAGAGAGGGGGGATCCACCACGCCCCGCCCGACGTCAGGCAACGGCTGTAAGAAGGTATTGTAGGCGGCATCGCCGCTGGGATCTCCGGAGCCCATGAGCCGATCGGTCTCAATGGGAAACGCACCGGCCTGAATCGGGAGCTCGTCGAGTTCCCGCGCTTCGGCGATCTCCACCCGACGCGTTAGCCACAAAAGCCTCCCCCACTTCTCAAGCGTTTTGGCAAATTTGCCATGACCGGAGTTCGCGTAGTTAAACGCCGCGTTGCACAGGGCGTACAGGACGCTGGCCGCGAGTGTGACGTAAAAGGGCGGTATCAACACGACTTCCGGTACCGACGTCATCGGAGTGCGACACGAGGGGCTCAGCAGCATCGCTGCGAGATCCTTCACGTTTTGCAGCTCCCCTCCCAAGATCCCACACACACACACACGCAGAGAGGGAGAGAGGGAGAGAGAGAGATAGAGAGTCACGGACCGTGAAGGCAATGTCAAACCCGCACAAACCTTCCCCGTCCCTCGCACCCACGCGGAGGCGGCAGGGAAAGCAAATGGATAAACAAACAAACAAACACCGTCCAGCACAGTACACTTAAAGCGCCTCGCAGGGAGAGTCGTGGTTTCTCGAGAGGACTCCTGCTCGAATCCGCGAGACTCGACAAAAAAAAAAACATCCACACCATCATAAAGCACAAAAAAGAAAGACTGAGATAGTTGAAGGGGGCAAATAGCCTATACACGCTGACCAGCATTACCAACGGTCGGCGCGGCCCGAAAAACAATTAACCACATCGTGTGGGTGAGCAGCAACACGCTCTATCCGCGTGCTAGTTACAAATAAGAGGCTGTTTTGCGTCCCCGCCTCCTTCCACGGCCCCACAGCGGCAAAAAAGGGGGACTGAGGGGCGAGTGAGGCGAAATCATCCTCCCTCCCCACACTCACTGCGGCCCAGTCAGAAACAATGCAATAAATGCACCCAAAACTGATCCACGGAACAAAACAACGTTAAGGTACACCAATTAGAGAGGAATATCAGGCAAAAAACCAAGCACCCGCATTGTTTCCAAAAGCTTATCCCTGCGCGCAAGGAGCAACAGAAGATAACACGCACACGCAGAAACAGTAAAACTGGAAAAAAAAATAGAGATGCTGCAGTAGGGCACGCGTGTCCATAGAGTCAGAGATTTTGCGACTCATGAAAAAGACCCCAGCAATAAGAAGAGCAGCGCTCGCACAACTGAATCGCTGAGAACACTGCAAAGGAAATACGCAAACACCGAGGACACATTCACTCAAAAAAAGAGCTGACTCGCGAAGCACAGCCACTGAAAGCCCGTCATCGTCAGGGGACTATAGCATCCCCAGAACTGTTGTCGGATCTCGAGGCGTAGGGCCTCGTGATACCCCCCGCCCTGCAGGAGGATTAACCCAAACAAGAAGCTGCTCTGCACTGTCCACTGAAGCAGAAAAAGCGTCAAGGCCTTCAGCAACGCCGCCTTCGCGAATTCGGCGGCGGGGGTTAGGCACGGCCGCATGCGTCTTCCAGGCCGTGGGGACATCGCCGAGTAGGTGTACCTATAGTATAGGCGGCGCACGGCCACGTACAGCGCCCAGAGCGGGGCAAACAGCCAGAGAAAGGAGGCCATGCCGGTCAGGCAGAACACAAGCAGCGCAGGAAGAAGGACGGCGCCGAAGACGATGAACGCGCTTCCCTGGATCAGCACCGTGCCAAGGTCCTCCAGCTCCAGTCTGAAATGTGGCCA